TGTAGTCAAGTGTTATGTCTTAAATTGATGTCCATTCGTGGTGAATACCAACTTGAGATCAATCAATCTTAACAAAACTGCAAGCTGAATTATTTTATTTGTCAACATTCTTATTTCATCAACGTAAACTCGCCTATAACCTTGCTTAATAAAATTCGATTTGGTAAACCGTCCTACTAACCCATGGATTATCACTCCCTATTATTATCCTTCCATTAGCTATTCGGACATTTTATAAACAAATCCCAATGATCTTCTAGTTAAATTCATCTTGTGACTCTAGGGACAATTTTCGACGAAAACTGTTTTGATTACCAGTGTGTGGTATTGCTTGGGATACCAGTGTTTTTGTTCCATTGCATCGAAATATGAAGAACATGTATGTCTATGCACACTAACACTGCTAATTTCAGTGATCAACACAATAAATCCACGTAACATACTACTGACAACCCCATAGATCCATGTTGACATTGGAATGCAAGTGTCTTTATACGATACCAACAATTACGGTTGGAAAAGTAAGACAGGCCTTCATTAATCTAAAATCAGTGTGGAGATCTACTGAACTGCACTCAGTATAAACAACAAGATCTGGATTTTCAACACTAACGTCAAGTCACTGCTTCTGTACCGTTCGCAGACTTGGCACGTTACGAAAAGCATTTCCAACTAACTACAGACACATATCAACAGCTACCGGCTACACTAGCTCCATACTGAAGATTAGATGAGAAGGATAAAAAGAATAAGCAAGGAGGAACTGTTGCTGGCAATGAACCAACCAAGAAGAAGAGGAAAGTGGAGATGGATTGGGCGTACACTGAGAAGGCCGACTGGAGACATCACGCTTCAGGCCATACCCTTGAGTGGAATCCAAAGGGGAAACGACGAGTTGGGCGTCCGAGGGTGACAGTGAGGAGATCGTGTGAGCAAGAAATGAAAGCTTGTGGGTAAAGGGGAGTCAAGTTCAAGTGACTGCAGAGAACAGAGTGGAGTGGAGACGTGCTACTGAATCCCTATGTTCCACTAGGAACCTAAGGGATAAATAATAATAAATATTATTCTCTGAAAGGATTGTTTTTCTTGAAAGTTAGGCTGGAATTTAAGGGTAACTTTGCTGTTGAGATGACTCAGATGTATTTACTACAGCAGAACTGAACATCGACCATCTTGCACACGTTGCAAGAGCTGTGCACTCTGACGTCTGTCTGGAGTCGAGTGTAGCATCAGGATTGTGCTGAGTTTGTCATTTATTTATATCCAAGCGTTACATAGTAGATCAAACTGACATCTCGGTAAGTATCCAAGAATCCAAATCCACCCACTACATTCCTATGTACTAGGCTACAATCTTCACTTTTTGTGAGATGGTTTATGAAACTACCCGGTATCCCAGATGAAGAAGGTGAATTGAAGTTCGAACATGTGGCCGATCACTTGAAAGTTGACTTTCTAAGCGAATACGCCAGACGTCTACTAGCTCACTGACTTTGATCAGCTGACTGTTTCAGTTCCATATTTCCATATCTCCAGAAAAACTTCTAGATGTACGATTGATATGATGAGATAACAATACTGATCCCATTAAAATATTATTCACTGATCAGTTGCAAGAAATTAACTTTCCTGTTTGGTGTTTTTTTCAAAATTATATAAATGAGAAACAAGTAGAAGATTTCATACTTCATAAGCTTTTTACTGCAGGAAACGACAAAATGATGAGTGTATTTTTGAGATGAATGAGGATTTTTTTTATTTATTTAGAAGTAGTATTCATCATGGACTGATATCAGTTGAATGGTTAACGCATTCACCGTTAAACCTGAAGGTCCTGAGTTCTATCCCTAGCCGAGTCGTGGGTGATTACTGCTGAGGAGTCCCATAGTAGGACGAAACAGCTGCTGAGTGCTCCCGGGTTTTACATGGTTCCCCAATTGATATCAGTCCATGGTGGATAATACTTCTAAAATGATGAATCTTTATAAACGACGTAAGCTCAGTGACTTCAAATTTTTCAGTTTAATAATTTAGATTACTTATAAGTAGTGTGATGTAGGCCTCAAAATATGAAGAATTTTCATCATAACATGTTAGTGAACAATATTGTTGTCAATTAGATCGTTTCGGGTTTCACTTTAAAATAACATAGATTTCAACAGATATGTGTATAATATGAAAGAACCATGGTTAATTTTGAGTCATTGATAACAAGGATGGAGATTACGTACTTTAGAATAATAAAATTAAATTAGTTGTAGTATAAAGGATAATCCCAGAGTTGAGAATGGCACAACAATGCAAACAGGTGTTCAGAGAGACAAAGTAGGTTAGAACTTGAGAAAGAATAGATAATTTGCGTAATACTTGGGAATTAAGACTATGAAAGGGGAGAAAAACAATGTCATAACAAGGAGAAAAAGAGTATTTTAAAAACCTTTTGGTGAGGTCATCAAGTTTTTTCTTGCCAAAGCAAGGATGAATGCTATGCAAACTTCTTCTGAATACAGAACTTCAGATTATTCATTCAAATTTCAATAGCCCCAGCTATGTGCGAAAATTGAGTTCAATCTTCATCGAAAAGGTTGAGGAATGGGAGGTGGCAAATCAATTGGAACACCTATTGTTGATCCGCTCTGTGACCACTATCAACTAAATGCAAGAAAATTGAGCTTTTCATAGATTTGCTCTGTACTGTTCTCAGCCACTAAGCCAAACAGGTGTTCGGCAGTACGTCGGTTGAGTTATCTAGTCATGTCCCCAATGTAACTGTCTCCATAAGGGCAATGAATTTGGTAAATACATATGGAAGTGGAGAAACTCAGTAACTCATCCTTCTTTTATGAAACGTAGCGACAAAAGGCAGCCAATAGGGGAGTTGTTTTCAAGTCATGATCAGGTCGTGATTTATGCATGCGCTGACATGAGAACCTGGTTGGAGAAGTTCGACCTCATACAAGAAATCTGTTTGGTTCATTTATGGCTTCACTTTCTAAGAGTTTTGTATATACATATACGTCATGTGTTTGCCTAATAAAAGGTTGTCGCTGTTCTTGCAGCCACAGGCCGTCTTTGTCCTCTGATTTCTTCGCGGCTCAGTGAAGCAGAAGGTACTGAAGGAGGTCATTCGTAAAGGTATTTGGTTGAGGTGTCTATTAGGTCTCAGTAGTCATTATACCCACGCGCGCAACCCCACCATTCTGTCACAACACTTTAACACAAAACAAACCATCAACTAGAAAACGATTGATAGAGATTAGCTCCTTAGCTAGTCCTCCTTATGATCCTCGATAGCCTGTGGGATAGTGGTTTATTTCGAACAGTTACTGCTTCACTGTATTGATGAAATCGAATCGGACTGTAACTCACTCTATGAAGGGTCATTTCAGTAGATCTTGTTTTGCTTTAGCTGTCAGATATTTCACTAGACTTCGTCTGTAACGTATAGGTATGAAGCCTAAGGGAGATTTTAAACTGACATATAGATATACTTCTTCTGCATACTAAGATGTCTTATCGTCTACTTATTAGAACACATCTAGGAATGATAACTTCATATCATATACATTTTTCCGAGGGGAAGCCAAGTGAAGATTTTAAACTGTCCACCATGCAAAAAAGTTACTGTACCAACTTCAAATACTTTAGCTCAATATTTTTAACTACTCATAAGTAGTGTAACACTATGTATATTCTCAAACAGTTTTGTTCAATCAATACACCATGTTTACTTGAACAAATATAGCATTATTGAACAAATAGTACAAGTATATATAGTGCATGCACAGACAAGAAGAAATACTTCACATAAAAATGTTTTCCTTTGTTACAAGAATACTTGAACCAGGTTATACTGCAAGGAGTAACGAAACAGATTTGTAAATGAGAATTATGCTAAGCAAAGATCAATTAGAATAGTCTATCAATAGTATGAAAATAACAAGGATTTAGTTTATTACTTTTTTCGAGGAAATTGAATCCCTAGACGAATAAATAAATGACTAAAAGGAGATTATATAAACTCCATTCATTTTGTTGGTTTCTCGCAGGAACATACTGCATTACCTGAAACCTATTTTGCAAGCATATTGATCCAATTGAGTTGAATAGGATGTTTACTAGTGCAATCAGAAGGCTACAATTACCGTTCTATCTAAATGTAATCTACTTGGTCGTGGCTAACAGAAGATGCGTTTCGTCCTACTTGGGACTCGTCAGTTGGATGCCCCTTTACTCTAGTGAGTGATGTTCATCCCACTGAAACTCGAACACCGTACCTACTGCTTCAAATGCCAGAGCAATTTCCACTAGGCTACTGAAGTTCGATAGCTGCCTCTTGTACAATGGGTATTAGTTATCATTATTAGTTGATATACTTGTCATTCTCCGGTGTTAGAGTGGGCTCCTAGACGGATGCCTAGTTGCTTATCCAAACTTATGACCAACTATCTGTGGAAGTAGTTATATTTAAAGGACGGAGAGAACGATATGACGTACTTCAGATTCTACAAACACGTTTTTCCTGAGTCTACATCCAGTATTCCGCTTGCCTGACATCTCATTCATACAGAATTTCAAGTACACATGGAGAGGTTCTTCAAGGTAAACAGTAACAGGGAGTATAATCCAAACTTCGTAAAGTTGGAGAAGCTGTAGCTTTTGGAAATCGAAAAAAAGCAGTTTTCAGTCTTTTTCACCTTGACAACCTAATTAACTCCTTCTCTTTGGTTGCATAATCTGTTGACTGAACATATTCGCAGTTCTTAACTTTATTACAGCTTGGATTTCAAGACTGTGACAGTGATCTATCTGCAATGGATAGTAAACTTGGTGAAGACATGTGCCTACTACATTGTAGAATTGACGGACTGGTCAACGTTCTCGTCCTAACTTCGCTTTGCGTCCAACGCTAATTCTATATATCAATATCCCCCGAGTTAATATATCCGAGTCCATCTCCCACTAACGGTATGCTAGCTGACTAAGAAAGAAGTTAGACTGTCAACCAACATAATTATATTGTATACAACAAAATAAAAAGAAAATGTACAAGGTTGTAAAAGCGTCAGGTGCCTAATCAGGAGAGAATCGAAAAGCCACCGTGGCAACTGCTGATATTTCCAACCAGTTTTGGATATTTTGTCTGGGAAACTAGCTTTTCATAGGATAAGAAAAAATGATTGGCTATCTCACTAGTTATTCGGGTCGCTTTTAAAGCCAGTCTCTAATCAGCATGTCAAAGAATGAGAACAAAGGTAAACACAAAAATGACATTCATAACTGATTGGTTGTGGCTCCCATTCTCTCTGACTACAGAATTCACGTAAGGCCGTGTCTCCCGCATTGATATTGACCAACGTAGAAAAAGCAAATATCATCTCTGAGCGGAAAATAGTTCCTAACACACAGTCAGTTCCAGAGGGACACACCTGTAACGACCAGCTGTTGATACGTTTTCGCCTAGCCTGTAGGGGAGCACGTCAAACGCGTAATACACCGCACAAATTCATGAATAACAATCAACGTTACCATTTCCAACTGTCCTTGGACTCTTGTTACTGAATAAACTCGCCCCAGCATGGGTTAGTAACTAGATTTTTCTTTCATCTTCCAAACAGAAAAAGGCGTGCTGAACATACACATACATTCCATTACTTATCGATGCAGGTGCTCCCCAAGGTGTCGTTGTATCTTTCTCTCTTCTCTTATTTATTACACGACTTCCTGCAAAAGTTCAACTTGTTGAATATGCCGCTGATAACCAGATAGTACCTATGCTGGTTGTCTCCGAACTGAATTGCATTACCCAGTGGCCTTTCAAAAAAGTGTTCAGTCATAGACGTGAACAAGACTAGTGTTAACTGTTCGTCCCACGACTCTTATAGTGTCGATCGCATAACTGTAGTAAAGAAATGAAAGGTTATCTATCTTAATTGAAGTGTTTCTTCTGGTTATCCTCGGTCCCCTTACGTGTAAATTTTTTCAGTCTCCCTTTATGAAAGACCTGTATAAAAGGAAGCTGAGGTAACCCTAGCATGACCAACTCTCTGTGAGTTTCTGGGAAAATTGTACCTTCCACAATCCATAGGAACTTTGAAGGCTGTCAGCAGAAGTTAATGGGGTGCGCTGAAACCTGTTAAATGGCACTGTTGTTGATAGACCCTTAAGCAGATAGATGCAAATAGGGGGTTAGCCACATTTCTTCAGACGCTCAATACTTTCTACATGAACACTTTTCTACTTATCACGTTTCAGGGAAGATAAGAAGCAAGTCCATACGGCTACATGTTTGTACAATTATATACAAATCTGGGTTTATAGGGAGAAAGAAATGCTGAAGTATTAAGTTGAGAAATAAAAGCCCTACCCCACCCCAAAAGAAAACCTTGTTTGAAATAAGATAGTTATTGTCGTTATCATTATAGGTCCATCCTCTCCTATTCGGCTAAGTATTCAAAATCGTTTAGACGCTGGGCACTAGAGGCTGTGCACAGAACGATAACCACTGGGTTGTCGTCGGAGCCGCCTAGTTCTTAATGCTTAGTACAAACGTCTATAGACAAAGATAACAATGCGACCATTCAGCCAAGTGGCAAGACTGTGATGCACTGCATTTCGGTGTTCGATATTGAGATGAGTCAACTGGTAGTAGGCCATGTACCTATCTGACTTTCCTACATGACAGAACTACTGATTAGACAGTAACAACGGTTACTCATACTCCCTGGTGGTTAATCCGTTTACATAGATCGGTTCTGAAACTTAAGTCAGTCATGGCCTAAATGTTCTAGTGGTCAAGTCTCTGAATTCAGCGCTGACTGATGCAGGCCCGAATCACCGAAAAAATACCGCTTTCCCCACGGTTGCAGATACGTCTCGCACGGAAGTGCCAACAAGAACGCAAGCCAGGTATAGGTCGTCCTGTTGACCGACTCTTAACAATCAGCATCAAAGATGAAGGTTTATCATCGTCGTGTGGGTGAGGATACATCAGCACCACTGACATATTGACTCAGAGGAATCTCACCTGTAGTCTCCAACAGCTGGTCGCTTTTGCCACGTGGAACCCAATCGACTATTCTGCACCTCCCCCCCCCTACATTGCTCAGACCCACAGTCAAAGACTCTATGCACTGATGTCATGTTTTAGTCTGGCCACCTAAGCCTTTTAACAGCCTGAACCTGATTAAGCTAAAATTGCGCGGAGCCAAACTGAAAGTTACGACCTAACTTGCATCAAGAAACTTGAATTAAGTAGTGAATTACTTAAACCTCATAACGCTTTTTTGATGTCGGACCACTTATTCTAGTGCAGAAGGATATTGTATCATAAGATACTTTGCATTCAAACGTACGGTTGGTGATGCCAAGACTGTTATAACTATCTTACGTGTCAGAATCATTAAATTTGACAAGTCAAGCTCTCGAATCACTTAGCAAAATGATCATCGAATCACATCCTATAACGAAGAAAGATGGAGACAGTTTCCAATGTTGAGGTGATTTAAAATCACATCATTTGTTATGTTCAGTTTTGAAGTCTTCCCACTTCCATCAGTTTCACCTGAGAGATCACAACTCATGCCTCCAATTCTCTGTGCATTATAATCAATCATTGGTCTCCACAGAGTAAACACAAACTTACATGACCACTGCAGACAAATACGGTTTTGTCTTAAGACATCTCTACCAGGAAATCGAATATAAGATCAAAGACTACCATTCGTAACGCGTCCCTGAGTCATCAATCCAGTCTGATCGACCATAAGTAGCACTTAGAACCATATTTAAAGAAGCCCCATGCCATTCATCAAAAAGTTCAGAATCTATAACATTTTCACTTATCGGCTAGCAATGGTAGACATCCCTGCCAAACATAAGCTATGATGACTCCGTGACAAATCGCCTAAACCCCCAATATATGATCAGTGCGTCTCAGCAAAGTCTACGCCACACCTAGGTAGTTGGAGGAATCATGACTAGATATACGTTCGCTTGACATCCCAGCTTACAAGTCCCAGTTGCACCATACCCCTCAATGAATTGACAGTAGTATTCCAAATGTGCGAGTTAGGCACTGTGGTGGATCGCAGTTCCATCTTAACTTGTTTATTAGGTATCACAGTGAAACAGAATAATTTGTTAGAAAAATAATACTGTTTTGACTAACACACAACTGTGTTCCGAATGGTCGCCATCTTTGCTGCAGCCCTTCTTCATAAGCCTAAACACACAACTCTCCAAGATATAATATATATTTCGCATATGACAAGCTATATAAATTACACGCTAATTTCAGAGGAATGATCTGTTTGTTAACATTATAAATAATTCAGGTGATGACGTGATTTCAACCGAGTAACTTCTCAATTAGATTGACATTTTTACTCATGACTGTCAGTCGCTATGATCTATTACAAGCATCTTAGATTACGCATCATGTGCTCCGGATCGATTGCACTCGCTTGAACAAGAACCCGGTATCCATATATATACTGGCTTCGTCAGTTACTCAAATGTAGCACTGTCAGTAAGTATAAACTGTAGTTAATCAACAGCTCATATTTCAGACACAAGGTTTACAAACAATAGGCTATGCTCCGGTAACGCGTCTCAGATTGGGCAGACAGGCATATCGACGTAGAACCTCGCACATAATTGCCATGCTTCACGGAACAGGTGGATCGAACAAGAGTAATTTAACAGTAGACTAAGTTGTGGGAGGCAATAAACATTCTGCAGCTCACAGTCAGTGCAAATATTCACGCTTTAGATGCTAAATAATGAATATGTGTGCTATCGTGACCGATTTTCAGCCATTTGATCAACCGCTGATTCCTATAATCCAGGAAACCCAAGTCAGGCAGCCTACATCTCCCCACACGACTCAGACGAACAGTGAGCGACTTCCAGATAACCATGCCTTTATCCTTCTCCATCTCTACACTAGTAGTAAGACATGTCTATCAAATATTGCTTTGGCTGTTTAGCGATAAGAGTATCATGTTGATCATTTACGCACGAAGCTTCTCAGAATTTTCTTAAGTGTTGAAAATATTGGTCTGTTCTGAGAGTATACACTTAGTAACCAAAGGCAGCGCATCTTGCTGCTGAAGTAACAAATCAACATTCTGAGGAGCTTCACTCTTCGGCGGACAGTGCCAACAGTAACAACCAAACGAATCAGTTCACACAAACCACTGCAATCAAACCTGTCCGCGGTGATGCGTGACTTGACAAACCAACCAGACTAAATGAAATGGCAGCTAGGAGGCACAACACCTCCTTCATCGCAGCAACATTTGAATTATATAAACAATGACTCGTCTTTGTCGAGGAAAGGTCATAAGAAACTATCATCACGTGGAAAGCAGGAAACACTAATTACGTCAAATTTTGACCGGCTCGATGAAAAACACTATGGAAACAGCCTCTTTCCAGAATGACCATAATAATATCCAGATGTAATGTCAGCCTAGTGAGCCACTGACTTTCCGGTTATATGAAAAACTGTACGACAGTAAGAAATTCTTAAGGACATTGTTTTCGAGTTCTGAATAGCAAGAAGTGAGAAATGCATTCAAGCTACGTGTCTTGTTGCAACTAAAACTGATTTGACAAGTCTCTTGACTAGTATCAAAACATTCTTCACGCATTGACACAATTAACTCAAAATTCGACGTTAAACTGGTAAAGGAGAGTTGTACTGGTTTGCAAAATGATAGTTTTCTGGGGGCTCTATGAGAACTTCGTCAATAAACAGGTTACAAGTGTCACTTCCAAACGGATACCAACATAGCCTACATAGATGGTCTGTAGCCCGGAAGTTCTACAAGGGACTCCAGCATTTTATACTTCACAGTAGTTTCTTGTCAATGCTTATCATTCAACTAAGGATAGACGTAAAGTTTCACCTGTTTTTCGTACAAGTTACTCAAAACCTAACTGCGAATTTCTCACTAAGTGATCTGCTGAATGTTGGAAAAAGCAGTTCACTACGTAACACCATTAACCAAAAGTTGCCAGCGTATACTACATTCACGTTTCGAAATAAGTTGCATCAACATTTCCAAAAGATTGAAGTTGCATACCTTGCTACTCGGTGGGAAAGTATCAAGAAGTGGAGCCTATCAACTGTAATATGACCAGAAAATTTAATTAGAGTTCACAGACTCAGTATTGCAGGTGGCCTTTGTACCATGACAAGTGGTTCTGAATAGACTGTCGTACGTGCGATTTACGGTGACCTAGTCAACAAGCTATAAAAGAAATCCAGCAAAGTGAAGGTGGACCGCTACCTTAGACCACCGGAGTTCTTAGAAGTACTACACTACTACGTTATGAAACACCAATAAACGACCACAAAACAAACCAGCTTGCTTTCATCTTCAAGCAAATGAATTTCAATACACTTACTAGATTTACCTTCTTACAAGCAACATATGGAGAAAGAAGTGACTACATTTTCATCCTTTAGGTAATGCCTTAACTGCTTCTTAAGTTTTCTAACAATTCAGCACCTCGTCTTAGCACTGCTCAGATAACTATAAAACTGTATTTCTGCTGATTTCGCTCCTAGACTTTCACTACTTGTACTGTATTGTCGATGCTCGAAGGTGAATAGTCATCCCAGCGAGAGGAGACTCATGACAATGCAAACATTGAAGTCAACATTATCAAACACAGGTGACAGAAAACTATGAACGTAAGCCAAACTAATCAGAAATACAATGCTTCCTACGAAGATATCGACAACAAAGCTAGTGTCAGCATAACATTCGGAAACCGCCTTCGAATTCAACATGGTGTGGGGAACATGACTCTCTCTTGCTTGTGTAAGCTGGTAACTGTGACGGCTTCTATACATCAACCATTAGTTGACATCGAAAGGATCATCTGAAGACGCGACAAAAGGAACAGTGACAAATTTGTTTACACCTATTTGCAGGCTTTTATCCAAGGGTTTATGATACGACCGCGATAGGCGATCAACACTCATTATTTTAGGGGATGTTGTAGAAATGGCAGTGACAACTAACAGAGTAGTAGCTGTGTCGAGATGCCCGGGGTGTCACTAATACAAACGATAAAACTTATAAACAACTAGTACAGCATGAAGGTGATTTCCATACACATACTTGGTTGTAGAGAACTACGTGCAAACACCTGATTTACAGAACTCAGGTACAAAGAATAGAAGCTCACTAATAACAAAGTGGGGATGAAAGTAATCAGAAAGGGTGTGAATCGGCCGTATTAGAACGAACCATACAAATTATTTCCATAATTTTATTCAATCCATCATATGTTACAAACGTTATCGTGTCTTCTTCCTATAACTGCACCCTATGAATATAAGAATTAGATGAAAAATTCTCGATAGTTACCATCAGCTAGTCGTGCTCTACCACCTGTGGGCTGACACAATATCCGGTCACATCCAGGGCAAACAACTGGTGTTTGGGCATGGCTAAATACGATCTGGATTTTTAGGCACCCTGTACATTAGAAATCATACGGTATTCAGATTACCTAAACATTTGACGTCCATGAAGAAAGAATTTGGGGACGGAACCAGACGTTTCAACTTGCACTTTCGCTTTTCTTCTCGAAATGTTGGGTGAAGAAGGTCACGAGCGAGCTGTGGGAAGAAAACAATGTCTTAGTTAGTTGGTGTTGCATGAATTATAGGACGCAGATAATTATAACACACGAAACCATGTGACAACTAACCGGCATGGTAATCGCGCTTGAAGGCAACTAAAAGTATCCGCCTAACGTAGTTGCTTAAACAAGGCTAGTTTCAACAACCAACATCCAACAGCAATCGCGCGAGTAGAGGAAACTTGTAGTTTCTGGGCTATCGATCCTAGGTTTCAAGCCTCTGTTCTTTTCATTCGGTTACACTCCATTGATTGGAGAAATCTTCATGGTTTCACTGCTTATTGTTCGGTTTTAGTCTGTTCATTAAAAATGTCATACAACAGTTCAGATGATTAATGACGGAATAGGAGAAGCTTTCGCATCTAGAATCTATGGACCACTTCCTCTTGTGGTTGCTAACCTGTGTAAAAGCAAAGAGAGCAGGGGTAAAACAGCAATGCTTGCTGGATAGCATTTCGCACAAAATGTATTGTCAGTATTAATATCAGGTAAATTCAGAACTTTGAGACGCATTCTATCGATACATATACACATTATAAGGAGCCACATAGACTATGCCTCAAAACTGTAGGGTTTCCTAGTATGAATATGGACGATAAAGTCGTCCGAAACGCTATCCAGTAAACACTATTGTCTCACAGTGACATTGCAGGCAAACAAACTAAAATGGAATTACAACCTACCAAAAGGCTCGCGCTCTACTCCTATACCTGCTTATGGCTTTGTAGGTGGCGACTGTCTATTTGAAGGCATGTTTTTGCAAACTGTAGCGTGGTTTGTTTGGGGGAGCAAGGGAGCTGCTGATAATATCTGTTAACCTTTTGCAATTCCCGTCCTTGTAACCATCCGTTGGTGAATATGAAGTGTTATTTGAAAGGTATTGTAGAATTTAGGGTGAGTGGGGAATGAGAAAAGAGGGATGGAGAGCACTTGTGGAAGAGCAAATGTTACTGGCAATAAAATAGAGAAAAAATGGGCCTTACTCCAGATACCAGGTTTGAGGGATCGAAGGATGAACGACAATACCCTCGGTTGCCACCAGCGAATGTCCTTGGTAAGTCGTTGGCACTCATGCACTCATCAAGTAAGCGTTCGAAGGAGTCAACTGGTGTAGTCTTGGCTACTTCTTTCTGTATACCTGCTCGTCAACATCTATCTTTTCGTCATTTGGCTTTAACCAATAGGATGTTTGAAGGCGTACTACTATTATTCTGACTGCATTAGTTTGCAGGTTTCGGTAAATGCTATGACTGGTGTGACAGTGATACTGGTATCCTGTAGGTGGGGGAGGGAGTAGCCGACTTATCTGCTCTGTATACACTAGTTTCTATCTGTCTGCCAACCACGTTATTCAGTTATGGCTTGTGACCAATAGCTGGTGAACAAATGTAAAGTAACAATTGGAGCCGGAAATTTGAATAGGAATAGATATCAAACGTTGCACTCCTGGAATTTTTTGCGGGAACGCGATTCAGATAACTTCATTCAGGCTAAAAAAGAGGAAAAAGTTCCGAGATATGCAAGGTCTTTGGTTGATGGGCAACAGGCAACTAATGCTTCCGAGACTGCCGTCCACAAGTCGGATAGATTGTCAAGAAGCATGAGCGTTACAATAATTTCGGTAGCCTTACGAATAAATTCAGTTTCAGGAATCAAGAAAGGTTGAGAACCTGAAGTTGTAGCGCACACAGAAACGTGATTCTCAATGAGAATGAACTTTTCAGAGTTCATGACTGTATACTCCTGGGTAGGGACTGGCATGAACATCAGTCGTAATGGTGATGGCATGGCACCTGACGCTGCGTGAAGGCATGGAAGTGCAGCCGAAGGAGTCAGAGGCACCCGTCAATAGCATGCGTGAAGGAGCGAGCTACAATGCTGATTCAATCCAGTCCGAAACCCAACGTTTTTCCAAGGGCGAGTGTAAACCGATCGATTTCTCCGCACTGGTTCCTAGGTTTTAAGGAACTAGGTGAGGCGCTGTGACAACCAGTATCATGTACAGCATTCCTAATTTCCAAGCTGACAAGTTTGTTTTGCTGTTTCTTTGCGGGTGTAACACCAGCAACAAGTTCCAAGCGACTGAAGACCCGAGTACTCCATACTTCAGTAGGTGGAGCCTCGCGGCCACAGCTTCATGCGACTATTTCATCAACCAACTGCTACCAGCCATTATCTTGCGTGTGACCATTCAATTGTAGTTGTTACAACAAGTTATCGCTTGCATTTTGAGCCATAGCTATTGAACCCAGTCCTCGAATATTAATTAGCACGAGGGCTCGAACTCCTTCCAACACCAGCGGCTGAGAAGTTGTCATATAGCCATTGCCTTTACGCAAAGACTTTGAGTTTCGCTCATGAATCAATCGCTATCAGGCTAATGTTTGGCAAGCAGATGTGCCGACAATCGAAGCCATTGCAGCCTCAGCCAACTGGTATGTGAGAGCAGGGTGAGCAGTGCAGAAAGCTTTGGAGAAACTGGGTACACCGTTTGGAGGTGTCACGGTTCCTTTCATCTCGCCGTCAATACCACGAAGACCTACTGGCAAACCACCTTGAACAAACAGACAACCGAAGGATACTGAGACGGGAGAAGCCTTGATAGGATTCCCGTAAAAAAGTGAAGAGAGATAAGCTAGAATTGAAGTATAGCTATGTTTTGAGCCGATGTCGACTAGAGCGTGAAAAGTGATTGGTGAGTGATCCCACTGACTGTCTCGAAAATAGATTCTCATTTTAAGCGAAGGTCCAAGGAGTATAATAGGATAACTGTCGCGCTTTCTGGCACGAACCTGGTTACGTCATCAGGACCAGCGACTGATAGGGCCGAAAAGCCGCCAAATTACTCAATCAAGGATTCCTTGTTTGTCAGTGACATTTAGAAGCCAAGTGTCATCATGAGTGATACCCACGGTTGGTGTCTATTTTATCAGAAAAAGAAACAGCGTCAGAATGACGCAGTAAGTTTAATTCTGATAAGTCCTGGTGTCCCGACTGAGTTCACCCTAGGTTATTATTGGCTTCGACCAGCACCACTCATGAACTACTCACAAAAAGATTTATCATGTCTTCATCTCGTGCTCCGCTATCTAGGCAAATGAAAGACATCGTCGCCTGACTAGCTTTCATGGACAAAAAGGGCAGCAAGTCAAACGTGGTCACGAAGTGGCAAAGTAGAAGAAAGTTGGCTGGGTGGTGATTGGTGAGTTATTTAGAAACATATAGCCTGCTGGCGCATGAAAAATACGGTCTCCACCACGAATACTCAAGACTGTTGAACGTGGTTTCAGCCCCCAGAAAAGTGGGTAACAGCCATATACAACAGTGTATTTGGTGCATTTATTGAATTCGGCGGGACACATCACAATGCTGTCTCCTTCTAGTTTATGGTGAAACTCGCAGGTTTCAATCAAATTATACAAGGAAGGGCCCGGTTTATGGATTACCGGCATGACAATGAAGAAACAGCGCGGGCGAAAACTGATGAAACTTTTTAAAGCGAAAAAAGTGAGTAGTGGTAATATATAAAAATGCTGCAGTAAACGTACTTCGTGCCAAAAGTCTCTGCGTTCTGAGGTCACCTGAGCTGATCTCCAGTTTCTGTCACTTCTTCGTTCGCGTATCCCACTTCCCTCCTTTGTTTCTATACATAAATAAATATTTTTTCCTCACTTTTAACATGAGAGAAGCCAGTTTACAGGCGTCATCACACTGATATATATTGAAAAATCCACAAGATTTCACGGGTCCTGGATGGTACGGAAGGGGGTCATTAAAAATCAAAAAATCAGTTGTGGGACAAACAAGAAAATACCGCTTCTCAGCGTAAGCAGAGCGCTAAAGTTAGGGCAACAATAATTCTTATTCTCATATAATGAGTTTAACAGCTTACAGGCACCGTCAAATTTATAATTCCTGAAAGTTTACAAAATGGCATTTGGCAGTATATAATTCACATACGAAGTCATTGATGTGCATAATCCCATTAAAACTTGCTGCAACTTACTAGACGGGTGTCGATTTTCATCTCCCACCACAAGTGGGTTCCACTATTGGGAGCGGAAGAGCGCAGTGTTCGAAGTTGGCATCATAACCAGCTGACGTTGTCAACCCATTTGTATAGTCTGTTGTTTCGTAATATAACTGGCCATTCATCAGAAAATTCTTCAGCTTTTAGCTTTACCAGCCGCAAAGGACTCGTGTACACGATCTGAAGTAACAGTAAGTATTCACAGTTATGTGACAAAGGTGAGTGCCTAAATCAACGCATTTTCAGGTCACCATAATAATGTTTATTCCTGAATATACGGGCACACACCACTTTTACAGGTGTGAATAACTTTCTACATAAACTACATGTCTTCATGGAAGGTAATCTCAACCCCCGCCTATTGTCACTAGCAGACATAAGTGCTGCACGTTCATACAATGAAACATCCCAGCCGAATAAGTACGCAAAAAATTTACAAGTTGAACAAGAGGAAGTATTGTCTTCGGAATAACAAGAAACCAGGTCCGCGCCCCGGCACTAAGTGTATCACCTGGAGAAAAATAAGGCTTGAAGCCAATACTTCCATTGTAACAGTCTATACTTTTTGCTTGAGATAGTGGTGAAACGTTTATGATGGAATGTATGCACAAATTGTTTACTTAGTGTACTACACTGATGATTCCAGAACTGTATAATTCATGCGTGTTAATACCATTCCACATCAGAGATTCATAGTCTTGATGAATATTACTACTGAGAGCCAGTTATCTTCTCTTTTCTAACTCTGGCACCCAGAAGCGATAAACTTGTTTGAATGCGCCAAGTGGACTTCCAGGACATCATGTCCGTCGTTTGCACTAGTCGTGACAGCCTTGTTGTCGGTAAGCGTTGGGCTTTCCTGGTCACTTTTATAATGTGTAAATCCTAGATTCGGGTAATTACGAAGTTTTATTCCAGTGAGCGTTTTTTGTTTGTTGTAGTCAGGTACTGTGAAGGTAGCAAAGCTGGTCCCCCCCCCCCCATGAAAAGTAGTTTCAGGTAAAGGTAATACAGAATAATTCCACTGGAAATACTTGTTGTAGTGCATGGAAATAGACGTTGGAGTGGTTAAAGGTTCAAAAGGCAGTAGTCATACGTACATTTCAGGCATATTTCGAGTTAGCGTGAACAGCACCATTCGAAGAGTGTATCTGATACAAGGT